TAGAAATATATTTCTCACAGTTCTGGATGCTGGGAAGTCCACGATCAAGGCCCTGGCAGATCGGCATCTGGTGAGGGCCTGCTTCCTGGCTCATGGACGCCCCTTCTCACTGTGTGGAAGGAGCGAGGCTGCTCTCTGGGGCCTCTTTTACAAGGGTGCTGATCCCATTCCTGAGGGTTTCACCCTCATGACCTCACTCCCCCCCTCAAGGCCCCACCTCCTGATCCCATCACTATGGGGGTTAGCATTTCAACATATGCATTTGGGGAGACACAAACATTCACACCATAGCAGTCTCTAAAGACCTCTTTTGCATAAGTACCATGAACACTGTCAGCCTGTTTCCTATTTCACTTCCAAGAAGCTCTGGACAATGCAGACAACACCCTCGTCCTGGAAGTTCCTGTCTAAAATCTCTTTCCTTGCCCTTCTCATTCTGTGGCCCTTCGTCAGCCTTGTTCATTGACCTTTCCACTGTGGTTGAAACAGCATGGTGCTGGCATAAAGACAGATGCATAGACCATCGCAATGGAAGAAAGAGCCCAGAAATGAAGCCACATATACATGGTGAGCTAAATCAACAAGGATGCCAAGAACACACACTAAGGAAAGTACCATCTCTTCGATAAATGGTGTTGGGACAACTGGATATTCAAATGCAGAAGTGGACCCTCATCTCATATCACCCACAAAAATCAATTTAAAATGGGTTACACACTTAAACATAAGACCCCAAACTGTAAAGCTCCTAGAGAAAAAGTAGTGGAAAAGTTTCTCGACTTTTGTCTGCGTGATGAATGCTTGCATATTCCTTCCTGTGACCAGAAAGCCTTTAGGGCTCTGGCTCCTGACACTCCCCGAGTCCATCTCCAGCTCCCTGCTGCTCATTTCTCAGCTGCAATCCAGTGGCCTCCTTGCTTTCCTTGAAAACACCAATGAAAATCTACTGTCTGGATGACAATGTGGAGCAATTAGAACCCTTGTGCCTTGCTGGTGGGATGTAAGGTGGTGCAAGCCACTGTGTAAAACATTCAGTGGTTTCTCAGAAAGTTAGACATCAAATTACCACAGGACCCAGCAATTCCACTCCCAGGTATACAGCAAAAAGGACTGAAAACTCAAGTAAGCATGTACCCCCATACTCATAGCACACTATTTACAATAGCCAAAGGGTGGAAACAGCACACGTGTCTATCAATGGATGAATAGGTGAACAAATTGTGGTACATACATGCAACAGAATATTATCCAGCCATAAAAATAATGATATACCCATATGTGCTACAATGGGGATGAACCACCAAAACTTTTGCTACATTAAAGGAGCCAGGCACAAAAGATGCACATTATATGATTCCATTTAAATGCAATATTCAAAACAGATAAATCCATAGAGACAGAAAGCAGATTGGCAGTTGCCAGTGGCTGGGGGTAGTGGAGAGAAACTATGTAATGGTATAAGAGCTTTACTTTGGAATGATGGAAATGATTTGGAGCTAGACTGAGGTGGTGGCAACATAACACGGTGAATGTATCAAATGCCACCGAAGTGTTCTTTAAAATGGTTACTTTTATGTTATGTTAGTCTCACCTCAATAAATTATGTTTAATCTGATGGTGGGGCATTGCCATTTGGGTTCCTTCTGCCAGAGCCAGTCCTACCCTGCCAATCAAGTGCTTATGGACTCACTTTATTTAGGTCTGAGCCTACATGTCATTTACATAGAGGACTTCTAAAAATAGCATCTCTCTTCACTCTCTTTCTCCTTACCTTACTTTATTTTGCCTAATAATAACTTACTGTTATCTGACATATGTATGTACATGTATGTGTATATATATAGCCATATATATATGATTTATCATGGGTTTATATCTTTATTCTGCTACTATTTACTATGGAGCTATGTGGCTTCAGTTAAGTTGCTTGAACTTCTTTAATCCTCAGTTAATGCAAATAGAGATATTAAAATAAAATTATTCCAGTAATTTTGTTATCAGAATTAAGTGTGATAATACATATAAAGTGATTGATATGGTGTCTGGGCATATATTAGGTACTTAGCAAATTAGGTTAAAGAGTAGACATGACAAATTAGGTTAAAGAGTGAAAGGAAGTGAGAAGGTGCCTGAGGTGGTGGTCATGTCATTTACTGAACCTGAGACTAAAGTGACTCTGTGGAATCCAGTGCAGGAAAGTGTGTAGACAGTGGTCCCCACATCTGTGTCTAGTGGGTGGGAAAGTTAATGCGAGCTGCTGTCCTAGTCCTTTCTAGCTGCTATAACTAAACACCTGAGACTGAGAAATTTATAAACAATAAAAATTTGTTTCTCTCCATTCTCATGGCTGGGAATCCAAGATCGAGGTGCTGGCAGGTTCGGCGTCTGGTCAGTGCTGCTGTCTGATCCAAGACGCTGCCTTGTTGCTGTGCTTTCATATGCTGGAAGGTGGAAGAGAGGGAACCCACTCCCTCAAGCTTTTTAATAAGAGCCCTAACAGCATTGGTGAGGGCTCCTCCCTCATGACTTAATCCCCTCCTAAAAGTCCCACCTCTTCATATTGCCACATTGGCCACTTAGTTTCAACACATGAATTTGGGGGCCACATTCAGACCATAGAAGCTGCAGAGAACCATTATTGATAGCAACAGACAAAGTGATGGGGCTTTGAGCTTGACTAGGAGGCAAGTCAAGAAAGGAGTTGTTTGCTTCTCTGGTGCGGGTTCTTGGAGGAAGCCTTAAACATGCTTGAAGGTGCCAAGAGAAGAACATCAAAGGTACAAAAGTGACCAACAGAGCAAAACTGTAAGAAGGCAGAGCTGGTGGACCATAAGGTAGCCTTTGACCTCAGAGAAACCAGCATTGGCCATAACCTCAGACATGTCTACAAACTTTGCCTTTCTGAGCTTGTTATACTCCAAGAACCATCCTCAGTATGTTGGTTTTGAATTAAAATTGCAGTTGCTTCTATGCTCTACCTCGCCAGCCACTCTCCCTCTGGTGAGTAAGAGAAGGCGGTGGATCCGTGACTATGAGTATGTGTGTGATCAGGTGCATAGACTAGGGGACAGGGATAAGCTCCAACAGCTCATCTGAGTATGTTTTAGAACAAATGACTTTTTAAAAGTGGGAAATGGGGAAATGGTATATTTTTCAGGTTCAGTGTATTTCAGGTTTCTATACACATACTATGCCATGTATTGAAGCTATAGTGAAGGTTTCCAACACACACATCCAGACCAGCAGCAATAAGATTTTGCTGCACTTGCTTCATTTATTCCTGTTTTGTCTGTTTTGAAGTACTTTAAAAAAAACCAAGACTTCTACCATACTTCACCATATAATTCAAGAAAAAAAAGTATTTTTTTACCTAATCTCAATCTCTTTTAAGCAATCAACAGAATTAATATTAATAATAATTTCTCTATGACATATATATGAATAATGACTCTGTATTCAAATGTCTCTAATCATATCAAAAGCATCTTCTTACTTTGGGTTTGTTTGAATATGTAACAAAAAATATCCCACACACTTTCTTTGATTTAGCCTCTTGATCCTTTTTAAATTTAGCCTCTTTCCCATCCCTTTTTTAAAGATTTGATTTGATGAAGAAACTGGGTCAAGTGTCCTATGGAGTATCCTGTACTCTGGATTTGTCTCCTCTCCTCAAGATGTTGGTTAAATTATTCTATGATTCTCTACATTGCCTGTAAACTGGAAGCTCCAAAGACTCGAGTAGATCCAAATTCACCATATTGACAAGCTCCAACCACATCATCCAGTTGGCACCTTCGCCTAAATGAGAGATTTCATGAGAGAATACAAAATGGGTATTCTCCACTCCTGGCATTCTTCCACAGTTATCATCCAGACTTCATCTATAGAAAAAATATTCCCACATCAACTTTAGCTATTTGGTTTTCCTGAAATACAGTTTGAACCATAAAGGCAGCAGTTTTTATAAAGTTGTTTCTTCAGTCATGACCAATGAGGGTGTTGTTTGTTATTGTTGTTTCTCTATTTATTTGTTTTATATATAATTATAAACTCTTGGATTTTGTATATTCTATGAGTTTCATTTAATTATGATTTCAATGGAAGTCTCATCCTGTTCCTCCTCTGTTTATTTCACAAGACCCATCTATTTTGTGTCATTTGACAGTAATTTGTTTTATATGCTAAAGCTGAAGGATTTAATCAATTACCTTACTAAAACATAACATGTGTGTCCACACAAAAGCCTGTGCATGGATGTTTATAGCAGTTTTATTCATAATTGCCAAAACTTGAGAGTAACGAAGATGCCCTTCTATATGCAAATGGATGTGTATGATTGAACTACATTAAATGGCTAATATGCAGTTTTGACCCACATAAATAACAGTTTCATATGGTTGATCCGAATCCTAGTTACACCCATGCACACACATTTGTATAAACATATGATTCTTGCTGGTCCGAGTGCAGCGGTGTTTGTGACTAATTGATCACAGCCAGTTACAGATTCCTTTGCTCCTCCACTTCCACTGCTCCACTTGACCTGCCTAAACTACGTATATAAATATATTATCTTTGAATCTATGGAAAAGCTGTTGTGAAGTGTATGTAAGACCTCCCTGAATTCACGGTTGCATTTTTATCTTTCTTGCTTGAGCAGTTGAGTCAAAAGGGGAGGATGTGGCAGGAGTACCTTTAGTTTCCTATGAGGATTGTAACAAATGATCACAAATTTAGTGGCTTAAAATGAATTGATGATATTTTATCAACCAAAGTTATCAGCAGGGCTATGTTCCTTTCGGACATTCTAGGGGAATACGATATTCATGCCTTTTCCAACTTCTAGGGCCCTCCTGTGTTCCTTGGTTCAAAGCCAACAGTGTCTGGCTGAGTGTCCCATGTGGACCCATTGTGCCGGGCCTTCTGCCTCCCTCCTGCTCATTTAAGGGCCCTCGTGATCACACTGACTCCACTCGCACAGCCCAGGACCCTCTCCTCACCTTTAGGGCAACTGGGCAGCGACTTCAATTCCTCCATCCGTGTAGCGTGTGCTCACAGGTTCTAGGGATTAGGGCACGGGCCTCTTGGGGGAAGCCATTCTAGTAGTCCATCTTACTTTTTACTTGGGGGACGTTGTCTAAAAAAACAAAAATAAATGGGACAAGAGGTAGAAGTCATAGAGTACAGAAATGACTTATTGGCCAAAATTAATCAAGACAACAGGAATTGAACTTGGGAGGAACAAGCTGGCTCTGGGCAGCCAGGTCCCTGCGAAGGCGGGGCCAGGCAGGGCCAGGCCGCGGGCAGGGAGGTGCCGAGGCCTGGGCTGCGGATGGGGGGCAGGTGGACTGCATTGTATTTGGAGCAGGGATAGAAATATAAAGAACTTTATTACTTTTTATGGAAAACAGGCGATAAAGTTATGGGCTGGGAATGGAGGGAAAGATGAACGCAGCCAGTCTTAAATGTATAAGTGGCCAGGGAGACACGAAAAGATGACCCAGCAAGGCTGCCCCTCACCTGGGGGGAGAGGCCACGGGTGGCTTTCTGTCAGCCCCCGGACACCGGGCCACGCCGCGCTTTCCCCTGGTGCATGTCAGCTCAGGGCTGAACATTGGCATTCAGGTGGTCAGAGTAGCATCAGATTGCCAATCTGTAAGCGAGACCCTGAGGACAGACAGGTGGACACCCTGGCGTCTGAGCCTTGGAGGTCATGAAGTCAGTCATGAGGAAAGAACAGAGGAGCCAAAGGACTGAAACCCCCCGGCGGCTGGGATCACCTTCTCGAGGAAGGGGTGGTGACCAGGCCGCTGGAGACCGCAGGGTCAGCGTGGTCCCGGGCCGGCTTCTCACACGTCTCGGCTGCAGTCTTGGGAAGGGCTGACATGACAGGGTGCAGAGGAGACTTACGTCACGGGGTCTGAGGCCGAGCTACCCTCTGCATGTCTGTGGAACAGGAACACAAACGCAGACCACATGGCCGTGGTGAGAATGTGTGAGACAGACGGCTGAGGTAAGGCAGGTTTCAGACTGGCAACTCGGAGGACACGCAGGCCAACAATAGGTTTGGCTTGGAATGTGAACACCTGCTAGATAAGCACTCCTTTTCCAGAAACCCCACTGTCCCCAGGACACTCTGTCCTACCTAGGACCCTAAATTTCATTTGTCAGATACCCCTAGCATTCTAGTTTGAGGGCCCTGATAAACGGAGAGACTCAATCAATAAGTCAGGACATATTCAGTAAGTCACGGTAGTGGCATCGAGGAAGATGGGAAGAGAGTGCTAAATGGAGAAAAAAGAAAGACTATTTCTTGCTTAAAAGATGCTAATTTTTGTATAAGATCCAAATGCATCTGGACAAATGTGTATAGCTGTGACATGTTTTATATTTTGCCCATTGAGCATATTACTAGCGGAACTTATCAGTTTAACTCTCAGTTCAGGAGTCTCTGCCTCTCTGAATTAGCAGTTTCTCCCCGTTAAACCCACACCTAAAAATATTGGTCACTGCCAATGGGCAAACTAATATACAGGAAAAGGTAAATAGGGAAGCGTCCACATTTCCCTTTAATTACAAACAGCATCCTTTGAGATTAGCCATGAGTTGGTAACTGTTGAAGCCAGGAAATGTGTCCATGGCAGCTAATTACACTCTGTGTTTGTGTCTAAGGTTCCATAATAAAAAGTACGTGTCCTTCCCTCTGCAAGACAGTGCACCTGGCACAGTCAAGCCCGTGTGTGCACCTGCGGCTGAGAGCTCAACGTCACACCAGGCTCTCTGGGAGCAAAGCGTGTCTGGGCACTGGTACCTAAGAGCAGCCTTCAGAACTGCTACTGCTGGTGACTGAGACTGCACAGCCATTGTCCCCAGCAGAACCTACTGCATCTTTCATGGTGAATTCATCCTTGGGCAAGTTAGTCATTTCCAAGACTCTTTGCTCCTCTGTGTAGAGGAAGTAATAAATGACACCTATCCCTCCCATTGCTGAGAAAACGGTGAAGAAAATGTGTGCAGATACCTGGTGTTTAGGTGCTCCTTAGGAGCCAACACTATTTCCATAGTTTCTGCATAACTTCCACTTGCACCTCGCTGGCCTGCAGGTCACTACCATTTTGTGGTTCTCATGCTGTTCTGCTCGAAGTTGTGTGTTTGTGAATTTTTAAGACATTTCTCTCACCAGCCAGCTTCTAATCACATTGACTTAACATATGACAGCTGCTTGGAAGCTTATTTCTGATTAAAATATCCTTTGAAATTCACTGGATTTTTCCTGGAAACATAGCTATAGAAGCAGAGGGTGTAGTTTTAAGGTATTTCTAGGGGTGGATTTATTTTTCCAGGAAATACCCTTAAACTCAATGGCTTTGAATCAGTCTTTATTTCAAACTTTTAGAAATTTTATCTTTCTCTTTTGTGAGAATTTCAGAATGTGTAGCCACAAGGATATTCTGGACAGAAATAACTTAGCTTTCTGTGCAATGTAAATTATTGACTTGAAGGTGGAAGCCACATTCTTTCAAATGATTTCCTCATGGTCTAAAATCCTGGCTTTTAGAGTAAGACTTACCTGTGTTCATCTTCCAGTTTTGAATCTCATTAACTCTGTCCTGAAGCAAACTACTTAGGGTCTTTGAGCATCAGTTTTCTCATTTGTAAAACAGGATAATTCATGTGTTTCATGCTATTATACTAGTATGCTAATATCATACCTTTATTTCTATGCTGGGAATTAAATAATCATCCTATATATGAGCCTGGCTAATGGCAATAAGGCTAATTTACTTCTTTCCTTCCCTGCAGAAATTATCTTCCATGTTCTATTGATGTTCTTGGAATTGTCAGGATCACTCAACATTTTCTCTATATATCTTCCCACTTGCAAGCTATCTCCTGTGGGCTGAGACCCACTCTCCACTCTCTTATCTTTCTTGCACCAAGTTCTTTGATCAAATGTGAAGAAGAATTTCTGCTGATTGTCTTTTTTTTTCTTTCGGCATATTATGGGCGTACAGATTTTAAGGTTTCAATAAATGCCCTTTCCCTCCCTCCCCCCACAAGTCTGAGTCTCCAGCATGACCATCCCCCAGATGGTGCACATCTCACTCATTATGTATGTATATACCCGCCCCCTTCCCCACTCCCACCTGCCCAATACCCTATTACTGTAGTACCTATGTGACCACTTAGGTGCTGCTCGGTTAATACCAGTTTGCTGGTGCGTGTATGTGGTGCTTGTTTTTCCATTCTTGGGATACTTCACTTAGTAGTATGGGTTCCAGCTCTAACCAGGAAAATATAAGATGTATTATATCACCGTTGTTTCTTAGAGCTGAATAGTACTCCATGGTATACATATACCACATTTTATTAATCCATTCTTGGATTGATGGGCACTTAGGCTGTTTCCACAGCCTTGCAATTATGAATTGTGCTGCTATAAACATTCGAGTGTAGGTGTCTTTTTTGTACAGTGTTATTGGATCTTTTGTGTAGAGGCCCAGCAATGGGATTGCTGGATCAAATGGTAGATTCACTTGTATCACTTTAAGGTATCTCCATATTGCTTTCCACAGAGGTTGAACTAGTTTGCAGTCCCACCAGCAGTGTAGGAGTGTTCCTCTCTCTCCGCAACCACGCCAGCATCTATTGTTTGGAGACTTTTTGATAAAGGCCATTCTCACTGGAGTTAAGTGATATCTCATTGTGGTTTTGATTTGCATTTCCCTGATGATTAGAGATGATGAGCATTTTTTCATATGTTTGTTGGCCATTCTGTCTTCTTTAGAAAAGTTTCTGTTCAAGTCCTTTGCCCACTTTTTAATAGGGTTATTTGATTTTTTCTTGCTGATTTTAGTGAGTTCTAAGTATATTCTAGTTATCAGCGCCTTATCAGATGCGTAGGATGCAAAAATTTTCTCCCATTCTGTAGGTTGTCTCTTTACTTTCATGACTGTCTCTTTGGAGATTGTCTTTTAAAATTGCATTGCATGTTCAGGGAAAACATGTCAAACCTATGACTAATTCAACATTAACAGGCAAGATCATCTTTCTGCCTGTCTGCCACAATGTTCTTTCTCCAAGTTCTTCTCCATGCATTTCTTTGTCTTATTCCATGTGTGTGTTAATTGTGCACCCTCTTTCCCTGTCGATCTTTGATGATCTTGCACGTGAGGAACGAATCTGGTCTGGTCGATCCACAGGGATGGCGGCACGTGGAGGTGGGAAGCGTCTGCGCGGCGCCCTCCAGCTGCTCCCTCCCTAGCTGGCCAGCGCCAGCTCCGCAGCCTTTCCAGGACAGAGCAAGGCTGCTGTCCTCGGCCATCCTCACGCCAACTGTTCTTCCCTGCAGCCTCCAGTTATGTCTCCATGTCTCCATCTGAAACTCTCCCACACTCATTTTGTCTTCTGAGGTTCTGAAAGGGGCACCGCACTGTAGTGCATCTGGCATGAGGCAAGGAAGAAGGACAATTCAGGTCATCGCCAAAGACCATGAATCAGTGTCCTATGGCTGATGTAACAAAGTACCACAAACTGCAAGACTTCAGCAATGGAAAGGTATTCTCTCACAGCTTTGCAGACCAGAAGCTAGAAGTGCAGGTGTCAGCAGGGTCGGCTCAAGGCGGTGGCAGAGGCTCTGCCCAGGAGCCCCGGGCTCTGGTGGTTTGCTGGCAGTGTTTGGCACCCTTGGCTTGTAGACCTGTCTTCAATTTCACATCTCCTTGCATGCATGCGTGTCTTGTGTCCACATTCCCTTTTTAAGGACACTGACCACACTGGATTCAGGCCCACTCCTACGATCTCATCTTGAGTTGACCTTCTGAGAAGACCCCATTTCCTAATAAGGGCCCTTCGTAGGTACTGGAGGTCACGACGGCAACATCTTTTTGTATGACACAGTTCAACTGCGGTCAGGACAACTGCGTTTCCTTTCTTATTTCCTAAGAAGAATGTCAACAGGCGACCCGTCCAGGACTCAGCGCGGACGCCGCCTTCTCCCCGTGCGCAGACGCGGGCGCCGCCCCTCGGTCTCGCCAGGCCGCGCGAGCGCTCGTCTCTTCAGCAGCCTCCCGGAGACTCGAGTCTCCCTAGCCAGAAGTTTGGCCTGAGGACGGGGCTGCAACTTGCTGAAACAGCCACCACAGCTGAGGGCGGACGACTCTTGTTTCAGGGCATACAGTCAGAAAATGCTAGTGTGACAGCCTTACTTTTTGGCTGCCGTTAATCTTCCAGCATTTTTCTGAAAAGTATATATCAAAATAATTTGTTCACTGTATTTATACAGCTGTTTATCTTCAATTGTTTAGCATCTGGAGAACATGTGTAAGAAGTGTTTCTTTGGAGATTCGTGTATTCTAAAAATGCAGACAGTGTAACTTCTACACAAAGAGTCAGTCAATAAGCAGTTACTTAGGAGGGGCTGAGCACAGACACCCTGCAGAGATGCCCTGGAATCCACAGCTCGATCCTGCAACGTGGATAGCATTGCGCCGTTTTGTGGTCTTACAGAAACGGTGATTGGCTCAATCCCATGAAGCTGAGGGCTCTCATATCCCAGTACATTCCATATGACAGGACTTTTCTAAGAATATACCCCAGAGGGGTTGTCATCTCTGAAGTCAGCCAGCTGAGGTTGGATTCCAGGCCCCACACTAGCTGTGTGAAGCAAGACAAGTGATTCTGTGTCTCACAACCAAATACATAGTACTTCTTTCTAGGGTTGCTATGGGAATCACATCAGATTGTGTTCATAAAGTATCTAAAATAGTGCTTGGCACATAGGAAGCAGGTGACATATAGTCCTGTCATGGTAGGTGGTAGCAATAAAGTGGTAGAAAATTAATTGTTATAACTGACTACAAAGTAAGGAGAAAGAGTTTAAGGAAGGAGAAGCCACTGCCCGTCTGCATGCAGGTCTCACGTTCCCACTGACAATAACCGGCTGTGCTGCCTGCTACGGGCGGCAAAGCCATCCTGTCACCGGCGGCCGAGAGCACCCCACTGAACTGAACTCTCCACAGGCCTTCACGCCTCGCCTGATGGGCGTTAATCCTCCCACGGCCAGCAGGTGGAGGGGCGAGGCGGTGGGCAGTGCAGGGGCGTGTTTCGGCAGA